GAAATTGCATTTCAATAAAGTTATAAAATTTTGAAAATTTGTGCAGTGTTGCAAGACTTTCTTTCCAACCCAATAATTAACTATCCTTAATTTTATATTCCAGCCAGCAATTTAAAGTTTATTTATGATGTTCTTGAGGTTGTGATCTTGAAGCAGCTTTAATATTGGAACTGAGTAATTCACTTTCATCTTCCATCTTGCACAGGTCATGCCATTGAAGGGATTCCTGAGGTACCCTTGGTGGTGACAGACAAGATCCAGGAATTCATCAAGACAAAGCAAGCTGTCATGTTCCTCAAGAAGATCCGGGCTTGGGATGATGTGGCCAAGGTCTGAGAACACTGCATTTTCCTTCTTCCAGTTCACCATTCATTTGTTTTTCCTTTTGTGATCATGATGAGTGTTGACTTTGGTCCGTGTTTCCGAATTTATGTGACGATACCTCAAAGTCTCTGAGTCTTGTTTTGAAAGAATGAGAGAATTTTCATTGGGCTTCTCAACAAATTGGAGTTACTCAATACAATGTATTTGATTTCCAGGTTTATAACTCCAAGCGATTCCGAGCTGGCAAAGGAAAGTTGAGGAATCGCAGGCGAATTCACAAGTTGGGACCGCTCGTCGTTTACGATCAGGATCAGGTGGGTAAAAATGACAAAACTCTTCACACTGCATTGTTGAATTCCTTCTTTCTGCCAATAATCCTCTTTCAGTCCATTATTGCACCTGCTTCTGTCAAAAATTTATCCCTCTTCCATTCCAGTCAAGCTCAAGAAGCCAAATTCACCTAACCTTTGCTTATTTCACCTTTACTGGACTTTTTTTTTGCAATTAATGGGATCTTGTGGAGTCAGTAGGTGTCAGGAAAGTAAAGTGCAATTGGTTGAAGGAAGCCATATGCTGTTGTAGTCAATTATAATATAATGGAGTTAATGTTACTCTTTCAGGGGCTGAGGAAAGCCTTCCGAAACATTCCTGGGGTGGAATGCATTGATGTGATGAAATTGAACCTTCTGAGATTGGCCCCTGGAGGACATGTAGGTCGTTTTTGCATCTGGACTGAGAGTGCCTTCAAGAAGTTGAATGATATCTATGGAACCTGGACCAAACCATCTACTTTGAAGAAGGGCTATAAGTCAGTCTCATCAGCTTATAACTGCTTCAGTTGAATGTCAGGTGTTTGAAGTTCTGTTCATTTTCTATTGTAGCCTTCCTATGCACAAGATGAAAACTACTGACCTGGCTCGCCTCATCAACAGTGACGAGATCAAGGCAGTTACTCGAAAGCCTAGGTAAGTGGTTGATGGTGGTTATATTAGTCATTGTTTCTCTGAAATTTTCATTGGTTACCAAAAGGCATGCATTGGCGCTCGGTCTCGACTCTGTGGGTTAATAAATCTGTCGTTATTTTCTGTTCATTGTCACAGGAGGAAAATGATGAGGCACAAAATCAAGCCAAATCCATTGAGAAACCTGAGGGTGATGCTTAAATTGAATCCTTATACGGCTGTAGTAAAACGTAATGCCATTTTGTTGGAGGAGAAACGCAAGAAGGAGAAGGAGGACTTGCTTGCCAAGAAGCGAGGGGTAAGAGAAGCAAAAGTTGTACATAGTTCAAAACGATGAGGCAGAATTCATTATTTGAATTGCTCTATTCACAGCTGCCAGTAGAAGAAGACAAACTAAAGAAAAAGCGGTTGGAGATGAAACGCAAGGCACGAGCTAAGGCTGGTGCCCCTAAGAAGGCCAAAAAGACCGGCAAGAAGCCTCCGACAAAGGCAACTGGCAAGAAGCCTGCGGCAAAGCCGGCTGTCAAGAAATAAAACTCCTATCTGTTCAGCTGGAGGGAATTGAATTATTCAAAGATCAATAAAGAGGAAAATTAAATGGAAATTCTTGTGTGCTCCTTTGTGGAGTTTCAAATTCTTTCAGTTCTTACTGTAGCCTTTCCCTGCAGTATTAATAGAAGGCTACACATGTTTGCATCGATGTGGATATAGGTATCTACTGTTTGGTTGGTTTTTCTTGCATTGCTGCAAAATAAATTCAATTGATTGATTCAATTTTCCATCTCTTGAACATAAATTTATTGAAAACTGTCAACATCTAAGTATACCTAATTCAGGTAAACTCAAATCCTAAAAAGTCATGACTTGAAGGCCAGGAAGAGGTTGATGAATGGTTCCCAGAGAAACCTTTATAGGAAGGGAAATCACAGGCTGCCGTTTAGCTTTTGTAACAGACCCCTTAGACCATTGGTTCCCAATCTTTTACTTGTGGCAAACATGACACTTGAACTTACCACGGCGCACCCAGCCATTTACTCACTTTCAATGGGAAACGTGCTTGCTTCGCTGAACACAGCCGAGGCGTGGTGCAACTATCAGCTCGTTTTCCGCTGAAAGATGGCGTTTCTTCTTGTTTTTAAGTGTTTTAATTTTAGTTTTTTAATTTTTTTGTCAGCTCTCAAATCTCACGGCACACTTTAGCCTTACTGGCGGCACACCGTTTAGGAAATAGTCTTAGACCAGTTGCACACAAACATGGTTCTCCCAAATGAAGTGACTACTGCTCAACCTATGAATCGGCTACTACTTCCATAAACATTCCTGCGTGCACATTTCGTTTTCTCGGCCTCGTAAGGAAGGAAATAGCGGCGAAGTCTCCTGGGCAAAAAAAAATACAATAAATTTTGTTTTCATGTTAAACCCTTTCAATCCGGGCTAGAAGTCCCGCATTTTCTTCGCGTATGTTAGAGGGTTACACAGGAATACACGACCTTGAGGCCATCGCAGGATTCCGAGTTCCAATTTATAGTAGTTCACCTGTCAAATTGGCAGTAGTCCACTGTGAAGCTGCTGCATTTCTTCCGGCACTTCAAAAATGGTGTATTTTGTATTTATTTCAGCTAATGCATTTTTTAATACAATTTTTTACATGTTGTTTAAACATACGACGTAAAATAGGGATATGAGTACCAGCTTAACTAATTAAATATAATTTAATTTTTAAATAAATACTTATTTTACCAAATGAAACCATTTTAAACCCAATTTTATATGAACTTGTTGAAGCCCAAAAATAATGAAAATTTTCATTTCAGGACTCAAAGGTTTACTTTTCCACACCGAAGCATAACTACTCAAATTTTGAATCCTCGGAAGTTTGCCGTCGCTTTCGTCCATGCCGATTTCCATCGAAGAACTTTTTCCTACCATTTTCCGATTCGAGTACTCGCGCAGTACCTCCAGTACCTCGCAGTACTCGGTCTCTTGACGAACCCGGCCCGACGGGGGAAAGAAAGGGCTCACGTGCGGGGAAAATGGTCTCCATCGTTTGGCACTGCCAATTTCCTGCAAATTTATCCCTGTCAAAGCGGCCAGATGTTCCCCCAGCGCGGTTCCCTGCCGTCCGGTCTCGCAGGACTTAACAGTACTGAATCCAGTTCTTCTGTTGAAGTACTGAATTCAGTTCTGTTGAAGCGAAATTTAATCCGGATAGCTAAATTTTAAGTGGAATTTCAAGTAAATTCTGATTTTTATTCCTTATTTAAAAAAAAAATTAATTAATGATCGAGGATTTCGATCTCCGATGCCTGGACTTAATTTAAGATTAATTAATTAGTCTGCTGGACGAAACAAATTACTACTTTTTTGCATAAAACCCCAAAAAGGTCTATAATTGCATGCGAAATTCTCAATTCCGCGTGCAAAATCCCCCAAGCCCTCATCGCAATCGAATCGTTGAATACACTTGAGGAATGGGATCGTTCCGCTGGGCATACCGAAGAGAGATCCAAGAGGGTGTAACGCATGTTGCGTTACCCCCTCTTAAAAGAAGCCGACGGAAGACTTGACCTTTCAGAAACGTTGCGATTCTGCCAGCTTCGATGAATTGCCGATTCGAGCCGGTTTAGGCCACCCGAGTCGCCGCGCGACTTCCTCTTGCGTTACACCCTCTTTCGGCTTTTTCGCCCCCCCCCCCCNCACTGCAGGTTACAAGAAATTAAATCTGAAAAACATCACATTGCAAAATCGTTTTGAAAAGTGTGCCATTTTTTCGCCCCCCCCCCCCCCCCCACCCTTCACACTTTGTCGCTACGTTAGCCTTGGCATTTCTCTCGTGTTTTTCGGGCGCACGGTGGCATCGGCCCATTTTTCATCCACGGAAATTTGAAATTTGAACCAGATACATGAACCAGATGCATGAGGAAAACCTAATTAACCTAATTAGGCATCTTCCTGGCTTGGCACGTGCACAGCGCTCGAAGGTCAGCATTCAAACGTTAATGCGGCTCGTTCGGCAAAGGGCAGACAAAATGGCACGAAACAAACTAAATTATAATAAATTATAATTTAGTTTGTTTTTGCTTTTGCTCCTGGTTTCCCGCCGCCGTTTTTAGATTTCGTTTCGAGAACGCGGATCCCCGGCCTTGCAAAAAATATTTCAGGCGCGCAGATGAGCGATTTCGGTTCCAGAATTTTTTTTGTTGCGAATTTGGAAGTCGTCCCCAAAATGAGATACCATGCTTGCGCCAAGTCCATGGCAAAAAAATTTGCAATTTTGCTGAAATGCTAAACGAGGTGTAAGGCCAGAGATCGGCGGGATGCTAATTTAGATTTTGCAAGCATATTAATTTAAAACAAAAATTAATTTTCGTGCCAATTGGAAATTCATCGTTCGGCATTCCTTCGCTCGCGTCAAATTTGAATTCTCGAGTCTCGACTCTATTCGCTGCATTTTCCTGACCGAAATGAATTTTTTGGAATCTGCGGACGAGATTCCAGCCGATCGCGAAGCGCGTACGAATTCCAAGAGACTTTGACGACGCTGACGAGTTCCCCCCCCCCCCCTTTCCCCCCCCTTCCCCTCCTCGGGCCTCTGTAACCATTTGTCTTCGCTGATGGAGATTGAATGCCTGGGAACTCCGTCACCTTCTCATTTTCTCTCGGAACTGAAACCCGACGCAAATGAATTTCTCCAGATCGAGTCGAAGTGACGACGGCGAGGATTTCCAAAGGGGGCAGGGCGGGGCGGGGAGGGGAAGGGGAAATGAAAAATTCCATCCTCATGCCGGTGTTGTAATATAATAAACGATGCGTGCTTTTTGACTCCACGAAGAAATCGCGATTCGCTCGAATCGATTCTCTCGCGCGATCCCACGCGATTCTTACTCTTTTTTTTCTCGCGGGACCTTGAATTCCTCCCGAGTTCATGACGTCACACAGGTGTTCTTATTGAGCGAATTCGTTGGAAGTTCTGGAGTTTTTCTTCTACGAATGGAAGCGAGCCCAAAAACCTGATTTTTCTTGAGATTCCTGGCAGGAGTCCTTTATTCGAAGTGTCCTTTATTCGACGGCAGGTCGACGCGAAGAGAGCAGCGCGGATCGGTTACCTGCCAGTCATCCCGGATACCACCGGGTTTATCTGACGCGGGAAACGGGACCCATCCGGTTCAGAGGTTGAGTCCTCGCCACTTTCGGTTCGAGTCGCTTCTCAAGATCGAGCGATCTCGAGTCTGATTTTCCCGGGGTGTCAGAATCACGGGACGTCTCAACCGGACATGACGTCGAACTCGGGGATCGGTAGGCCTACCCGACGGTGAATACCAGGACCGCCCTGAGGGTGGGCCTCCAAAGGACCTCAAGGAAGCCTGCAGAGGGCTTCAAAGGGGTCTCCGGTTTAGGTTTACCCCCTGCCCTCTGGAAACCTCTGGGGGGAGGGGGGGGCTGATGAACACAGGGGAGTAGTGTACACGAGACGAAGTCTGCGTTGTGGGCGAGTGTCCACGCAGTGTCCACATAACGAAGGATACCGCGTTGTGATTTACCTCATTTCCAGCTTCAACTCTCGATCGCCGAAAAAGTCTGGAATCCAGGCCTCGCGTTTTCTCTCCTCTTCATCGACGCGAGATCGCCTACCGACCGTGTCGCGAGCCGACTTCCGAAGATCGATCGTCCCGAGAAGCCATTTCCGTACCTGGCACGATCTCAGCCATGATGGAACCGGGCTCGCAGGGCGAGGATGCGAGGCGAGGTGAAGACGCGAAACGAGAGGTCGCACCCGGGACGACAGGCGGCAAAGGACCAATGGGAAGAGGAGAGGGGCGGGGCCTCGAGGACTCGATCCCGACCCCCGATTGGTCGAGGCGTTTCGGTCCGTTCGGAGCGGGAAGGAATGCGTATCGGAGGGGATGCATCCCAGTGGGTGTGATGGGCTTGTATTTGCCGCTGCCGAGAGATAACCCGGAACCGTTTCTTATCATATCTCATCTCGTCTCATTAGCTATCATCTCTCGCCACGCTATTTGAAACACGTGAGTCGCTTTTTTTGGGGGGCTTTTGATGTCGGGTCGTCCTTCATCCGCGCTGGCGCCTCGTTGATGCTCTGACATTTCATTTAGTGTCGCGCAAACGCTCGGATTCGAAAGAGTCCCGAGATTTTTTTTTTTTTTTTTTTTTTTTTGGTTTTGTGGCATCGGGATNCGCTCGGATTCGAAAGGGTCCCGAGATTTTTTTTTTTTTTTTGCTTATTCGGTTTTGTGGCATCGGGATGCGGGGGTCGGGGGAAGGATCATCTTTCGTGAGTGTTTTCACGATCGCCGAACTCAAGACCTCGAAAATTCTCCAACGAAAATGCATATTTTAGCAGTAGACGGCTTGACAGACGCCTTACTCGCTCGTTTTGCCGTCTTGAGTATCGCGAGGAGAGCCTGGAACGCTCCTGATTTAGATTTAGATTTGGCTCCTGCCTCTGTCGGTGGTGAAATTCCTGCCGAACGAAATTTCATACGGGCGGATGGTAAAGGCCTATATGATCGCAAATTTTGGCCTGCTACCATGAGGTGCGAGGCGAGTGTCACACGATCCAAGGAACACGAGGCGACCCATGAG